TGGTGGGTCAGCGAATGTACAGGATCAGATCTTGCAATCCTTCGGCTTTCATGAAGGTATGATCCCTTTTCGGTATCTTGGGGTACCTGTTACTGCTTCTAGGCTGAGCAAATATGACTGTAGCTCTCTTGTGAACTCCATTACCGCTAGAGCACACTCTTCGTGTTTATCTTTTGCTGGCCGTCTACAACTTATTAAGTCGGTCCTCCATGCCATACATGTGTTCTGGGCTAGTGTCTTCACTCTCCCTCTGTTTGTATTATCGAGGATTGAGTTGATTCTCAGACAATTTCTCTAGAAAGGACTGGTTTTGGGTGTTGGAGGTGCCAAAGTCTCTTGGAGTGTTGTTTACCTCCCGAAAGAAGAAGGTGGCTTGGGTATTCGTAGACTCATTGATTGTAATCGTGCAGCAATGCTCAAGCATATATGGGTGCTCTTCATGGATAAGGAGTCTTTATGGTGCAAGTGGATACACTCCACCTTTCTGAAAATTAAAATTTTTTGGGTTGCTTCCAAGCCAACTTTCTGCTCTTGGGCATGGAAAAAAATTCTTGACATCCGCCAGGAATTTTAGTTGTAATTTAAATGGCGGATTGGTAATGGAGTTTGCACTTCATTCTAGTTTGATTTTTGGCACCACAAAGGCCCCCTTTATAAGCTATTCACCGATAGGGACATCTACCGTTCTGGTATCCCGAGAAGGGCTTCAGTACGGGACTTCTATTCCTCGGACTGGCAACTGTCAAATGTACTTGAAACTATCAACTCCTGGACGGAAGTTATCCTTGCTCTTGACAGGGAGAGGTGTGACCGGGTAGTTTGGCAAGGACATTCTTCGGGCATTTTTTCCACTGCCTCGGCTTGGGAACTAATCAGAAATAGGGACAGATCGTGACCTGGAACTCGTTCATTTGGGACTGCAGCATTGCACCGAGACATGGTTTCTTGATGTGGCTTATCTCTCTCAATAGGCTCCCAACGCAGGTTTTATTGTTGAGTTACCACAGAATCTCGGAAGGTGCATGTTCTTATTGTCAACGTAGGCCAGACTCTATTGACCATTTGTTCTTGGGGTGCGCTATCACGGGTACCCTTGCGCGTTTCTGGGCAGCTAAGTGTAACCTTTCTTGGCAAAATGATACGTGGCAAGAAAATCTCCGTTGGGCCATCCGCTTCATTGGTGGTCACAACTTTCCCCAGCGCATTGCTCATTTTTCTCTTGATGCGCTGTGCCATATCATCTAGACGGAACAGAATCATATCCTATTCAGGAATCAAACCCTTTTTCTGCCGGCTCTTCGCAACCACCTTGCTAAGGTTGTAAGGGATAAAGGTCTCTCCTTCAAGCCTGTTGAAGACATTCCCCGTAATAGAAGGATCCAAGTTAATTGCGGCATCTTGCCCTTTATCTTTGAGTGATCTCCTAATGATGCCTTGTATTTAGCTTTCGTTTTTCTGCTGGCCGGTGTTTTGGCCTTTGTTTTTGTTGCGCACTTGTTGCTATCCTGCTTTGTTTAGTCGCAACACCTTTGCACCCGTCGGGACACCCCTATGTGTCACCTCAGGTACGAGGTTTTTGTGTTCGGCTACACTCTCTGTATGTTGCGCATTGAAAAGTTAATATACTTCTTACCTTACCAAAAAAAAAATGTGACATCTAGAGTTTTGCTTATCTGATAATAATAATTAGGCTTATAGCTCAATATTGTTGAGTACAAAGTTTGAATGGAATCGTTTATGCTCGGGGTATGAGTAACATGAAATGAGCTTGTGAATTACTATTGGAACAAACACGGTTGGAGGGTAGGTGACACTAGTTACTAAATGGTAATACTAGGTCACATATTGAGATCGGACAATCTTTCAATCTTTCGTCTAGTGATCATAAGAATTAAACTTGTCATTCGGTATTGTCGCCAATGATTTCATGACTTTAGTAAATCGAGATACATTGTACATGTTAATTCTAGCTATGCGACATTAATAAAATGTTCACTTATGTGATTTGTGGAACTACACACCTGGTCCTCACCATGACCAAATATCTTAGAGCCATGTTTGGTATTTCAATTTTTCTAATTTCGAAAATTTGAATGCAATTTTGCATGAAAATAGACATATGTCCACTAAACTTGACGCCTCAACTCTCACATGCAAGAAGCAATTGTCTGGATAGGTAAGATAAGTGTTCAAGGCTTTGACACCAAATGACAAGTGTCATTGAGGTTATCACAATTGGCAATTAACATGCAATATTAAGCCCAAAAGCTTTTAAGAAGATTTGAGCGCCAATTTTCTCTCCCTCTCCCTCTGGCCGAACCCCATATCTCACCTTGCAATCCATTTTTCTCTCAATCCTCTTCACCCAAAAGCTCTCAAGAATCGAGCACTCAAGTAGATTGAGGTTCAGTTATTCCAATCAAGCCAACAAGTAAATGAAATTGCTAAGTTCAATGCTATAGTGATCTTCTTGCTTCTCGGTGATTGAGTGTAGTCTAGGCATGGTAGCCTTCTAATTTCTCAGTTAGTTGAATTTATGTTAAAATTTGTACTTGCATGTGTAATTAAGTCAATTTTGTTGAAACTAATGCTGCTCTTAAGGAAGATAGTTATAAGGGTGGTATGCACCTTACAGTTTTAAGAATAAACGTATGATTTAGGTCATGAGATGAGAACTCGGGTATATCTTTTTATATTTCCTTGTTTTCTACATTCCCGTCAAAATTCTAAAATATTAATCAAATCCTAATACACTATGAAATATTGTATCCAAATCAACGCCTTAATATCTGAATTTACTCATCAACATTTAAACATAATGAAATTTTCAGGTACTTTAGGTAAAAATAAATTAAAAATAGGTCCATTGCAAGATTTTTAAAATAAAGGTCAAAGTAAAAGCCATCATGAATGAATTCTTATTTTTCAAGGCTTTGTTTGAGAAATGGGGGAAATGAGAAAAGGCAGGGTGGTCATAAAATGCACGGATAAAAAAAAGTGGGAATAATTACCAATTAAGTCCTCAACTTATTGTACGGTTATCAATTTAGTCTTAAGCTTTCTGATTTTGCCAATATAATCATAAAATTTTGCGCGAAATGCCAATGTTAGTCGTACCAGTCAATTTCCACCAGAAAATTGCTTACAAAAATAAATAAACGAAATTTTTTTTTTCATTTTTCACGAAAATGTTTAAACCTAATTTGTTGTCGACAATGAGTACCTTTTCCGTCGACAAATTATTTCAAGCGGTACAAGCAATCATTTTTAAGAAAATATTTTCCAAATCATTTATCTTCCGGAAAACAAACGGAGCCTAATTGGAGAAGAATTTAAAGGTTTTTTGAGAAGAAAAGAGAGCAAAAATCCACTCTAATCCGCCCAATTGGGGCCACCGTGGCCCGCTCTACACCCCGTGCGGGGCGAGGCAGTTTGCATTCTTTCAATGCTACCAAGTCATTTTTGTATTTTCCTACATTAATATCTGGACATTCTATATAAGTTTACTTCTATTAGTATTTACTTATTTATAATACATAAAAATGAAAATATCCGAGATTATCCTAATGCTATTGTTTAAAACGTGAGAACGCGGAGACAATACTGAATGACTTTTCTTTTTTTTAACATTTTTGAAGAAATATTTTTACGAAAGACAATCTCTCTAAATTCAAATTATGCAAATCACAACCTTTTTTGACACTCTTGATTTTATCCAACACGTCATCCAGTAACTAGATATACCTAAATATCTTCCCGATCAACAGGGGGGGCTTGATCGAACGAGGCCCAAAAAAAAATACTGAATTTGAAATTGTTTATTACTTATTTTTCATTTTGTGAATTTTAAAGAGCACATTTTTTTACTCTTATTTAATATGAAACACGCGAAATCTTTTGAAAGCTACATCTATGAATATGTAGAATTAAAAGTAACTTTTTCATAATTAAAATTGTATATTTGACAGAACTTAAAAAATCACTTTTGGATTTTCCAGTCAAATTGAGTCTGAACAAGTCTAGCCATGAAAATTATGTTTTGAGCTTGTTGGCCTGGGCGAGCTTAATGGTCCCGCCGAGCTCCCATTCTTATTCTATTTATTTATGATTTGTCTGGATTGAATTTTGCTTTTATATTTTATTTAATTAAAATCTTGTGATTTATGCATTTTTAAAAACACTTAAAGTTTTTGCAAAAAAAAAATGTATATATTGACACGTAAATTATCATATAATTTTAAATAATTATGAGAAAAATACGAGAAAGGAAATAAAGGAATTGAGTTATAGCATTGTTTGGATGTTGGCAGGTTAAAAAAAAAAAGAAAAGGAATGGATTATGACATAAATATCTAATTTATATACTAAAAGTGACTTATTCATGTTAAAGGCATCATTTTTTAATGAAGGGAGTCTTTTCTTTTCCAAACAAAAACTCGATAGTTTTTCCAAGAAAAAATGAAAGTTTAGAGGAAAATCTTTTGGCAATAAACTGTAAAATTAACCTATATAAACGAGAATTTTTTTTTAAAGAAAATTATGAAGAATTTTTTTTAAATTGGTTAACATAGTTATAGATATTACATTTCTTTACTGATATCTAAAATAACAAGTAATAAAATTAACTCTAAGAGAATGAGAAAGTCATTATTTTAGTATTACATGAAAAATTAATTCTATTATGCACAAGATGTGATGTAATATAATTTTAGAAAAAATTAATTCTATTGTCGCTTGCAATATAATACACCAAAGAGAGTAAATTATTTCAATTATATCGAATAAAATATGTAGAAAATATAATATTAGAGCTAATATTAGTGAAAGGATAACAATTACTCAAAACACAATGACCAAAGTGATAGAGTCAAATTGAATATAAATATTTGTGAGAAAATCATCTTTCGTAAAAGACGGGCAAATATGCTAGTCCTTTTATATATATTAAAAATATAGATATAAAACAAAGACATAAGCAAAAAAATAAAAAAAAGAATAAATTTTCCCTTCGGTCATTCATATGTGATCAAAATTGTCATTTGCTCCATGCGTAGAACTGCGTTTCTGGGTGCTACTGCTATAGCTCGAAACTGTCCGCGCGACAGCCGAGAATTCTGGGTAATCCTGTTTTTAGGCTTCATTACACTGTGCTCTGATGTGTTGATTTCATGATAGTGAAAATGGTAGATTGGTTCGCTGACTTTCCCATCTTCTTCGGGTCGTTTTTGTTGTGTCCTTTAGTTTCCCTTTCCTCTCCTTTTCGATCTGTATTATACTGATTGCTTTTGGCGCTGGATTGCTTCGTTGCCTTTCTCCCTGTGTTGTGCGTTCTGGGCATTGGGGAGATTTCCATGTTTTTCTTCTTTCAGACTATCCCAGATATGATACTGTGAAAAGATGCGTCTGCTTTAGAATGTGCCCTTTAGCCTAAGCCGTCGAGGGTTTTTAAGTTTCAGTGATGGAAGGACTTTTGAGCACAGACAGAGCAAAATGTATTTCATCATAGGACCTACTGCGTTTTGGTCAATTGCTGTCCTCTTTTCTGCATAGCCTGCAGAAAGTATCTGCTTATTTTCCCAATTCTAATTTGCACTGGGCATGGCGCGCTTGGGCTTTGGAAAGGGCCTTCCTAGCATATTGTAATGATCCCAGATGGATGTCAAAATGGGAAAAAATCACAAACTTTGCAGTAATAACTTCTGTTTTGAAACATGTTGCAGCTTGTGGAGAAGGCTAACGACGCCTTCAAGGGCTGATAGGGAGGTAAAGAATCAAAATGCAGCAGAGGAGGTCTTTGACGGGCCGGCCAAGTGGAACGGATGGTTCGGATTTCTCCTACCGCATGACTGTTGACTCCCGTGAGCTCCCGTCCATCCATATTTGCTGTCTGCTTTTCATTTGGTTATTCTCGTGCCTATCAATTAGTAATTTTTTGTTTTTCTGAATGCTTGTTCCTTTGTTTTTGCGTTCCTGCCATTTGGATGTTCGGTTTACTGTTTGCACATTCGTAACTTTTGATCAGGATATCAAAAAGTAGCCCAAGGGAGGTCTCAGTTACAAACATCAATCTCAATTCAGGTAAATTGCTATTGTCTATTGGCTTTGCGATTGCCCCTCTCTTGTGCCTTGGTTGCCTATCTTGTAGACATGTTTTCCTTATCTGCATACTAATTACTAGTTATCCCCTGCATTGCACGGGGCTTATCGACATGGTTTGTACTACTTAAAGATGATTATTCTAAACAACAGAAGATTTCTAAACTTATAGAACTGATCTATATAATGGAAATGGGTTGTGTACCATTAAATATAAGTTTCATAAAGAGCTAAAAACAGAATCTCCTACCACAGACTCAACTTGTTGTGCAATATGTTTAAGTTCAATCATAAATAGAATGCAATTTGTTTTAGTGCACACTTTCAGATGCTTCTTGCCTCTTCAAGTGCTCTCGTGACCTCTCGTTCCTTTTATATTAACTTCTGCAAATTATATTAATCTAATTCGGCAAAACAATTATACGTACGAAATTGATGACAGCCACATACTATCACGAAAATAAGAAATCATTTTCATAGTGTTAATACAGTAGTAAAGTATTTACAGCAAATTAGATACAAATTCTCTATTTCGGCATCAAATATGAATCTAGTTTATATTTATTGGACTCATTTACCGACCACCTAGAAATATGAAAAGGAGTTCAATCATTCCTAATTTCATCTATGCCACAAACGTCAAAATCAACAAAAACCCATATTTATATACTGAAAATAGATAATAGCTATATATTAGATTTATAAACAAAATATTAATTCACTAGTTGTACCTCATTTTACCCATGATTTTAATCGATAGACAAGTTCAGATCTTACTGGGTTAGAATTTACTTCCTTAGTTCCTTTCTGACAACAGTTAAAGTAAAAGCATGACTGCAAGTATAGTAGAAAGATGTTATGTTTTAAGCTTTTTATCTTTAATTTTGTGGTATTTTTGCTCATGATGGATTGAATGTTGTTTTCATTAGATCATTGTGGTAGCTCCTGCTTACATATCTGTCTTTTCTCCAATTTTCATTCATGAAGATTTTTTTGGATATTTACTTTGCCATCAGAAATTAGAATGCGGCTAGAAAACTTCGTCTCTTTGTGTGCAGGCTGTTGTCCAATTAATTAGGGCAGTGTGTCTAGCTCTATCAATTTCAAAGGGGAATGTCCCTAGTCCACTCGCTATGTCATCTCTCGCCACAGCCTTTCTATCAATAATTGTTGGAGAATTAGGTAGTTCTCCTCTCTACTTCTTTTGAAGATGCAACATACCTTAGCTTTTTTTTTTTTTTTTGGGTTGAAACATACCTTAGCTTCAAATGCTGACAAATAATCCTTTTGTGTTTGAAAAGGTAGAAGACGAAGTCGGGTAAATTTCTTAAGATTTTACATAGTTGCAGCAGCTGCAGTGATACTTTTATCTATTGCCTGTCTTGTCAAGGGTGATTTGAAATTGGAGGTAAGGCATTTTCTCCTTTCATAGCTCCAATAAATTATCAACAAATTCTTCCTGTTGCTTTTCTCCCTGCCTCACTTCTTTTAAACCTTCCGGTTGCTTTCCATGGAGAAGGGAAAAAAGCCAGTTGTAAGCTCTTAACGTCAAATTATAAGAGAGAAACGGTCCTAGAAAGAAAAATAGAACAGCAAAAGAGTAGACAGGGGAAACCAATGAAATTAAGAACAGAAAATTAGAAAAGCTGGGTTAAGAACTCATGAGGGACAAAGAAAAGTACCTTCTGGATGCTCTGTTGTTTCTGTTAGATGGTGCATATATTTGGGAGATGCACAGAGACGGACCAAAGTGGTGGCTGGCGGTGGTGGTCGTCCCCCCACCCCCCAAAACTTTGGATATGCTTTAAAGTTTAGCTTGTGGAAATGATAATCTTCTATCTGTGCGCACGAGAAAAGCTGTTAGATCTAGGTGTTCTTTGATACTACCAGAAAAACTCTCGTATTTGTGCTAGATGTATTGTGTGAATTGTATACATTGCTTTTTTCTTTGCATTATCTCGGTTTCCATCCATAGGAATCTTGCAATTGGTTAAGCCAAAAAATGGAAGTTGAATGGTGCATTTGTTCAATTTATGTCTATACTCATGATGCTGTCCTGTAGATACAATTAATGGATGCCTGTAATATTCGTTCTCATGGCTCCATTCCCATGTAGGACATCCTTAATGTCCATGTCAAAGTCAGGAAGTTTGAATTTCTTGAAGCTACAAGTGTTCTTCTTGGTGAGCTGCGTTTTCCTTTGCCTCTTCATCTGATCCAAGTTGGCGAATATATGGCATTGTACTCACTAAATGTTTGTCTCAAATTTCGCAGGCCTGCTGGTCCAGGTGTTTACTGTCAAAACGACGGTATCACTCATTAGCAACATGTCTCCACCCAAGAGAACTTCATAAGGGTGTGATGCCAATTTGCTAATGATTTGGGTTAAACAAGCAAGTTCGGCTTTCCTTGTGTGTGCCAAGTAGCATGTCGTCGTCTGAGTATGGCTTAACAGGCATTACAAACAGCAAGAAGCCAGCACTTTGCTTTGCGAGTAAGCTGTACAATAGACTTGTTGATGATCTTCACTTGAAGATTCTTGGTTTACAGTGCTCGACTCTCTGTATCAATTTGGTGATCCTCGACTGTCAATCAGAGAAATTAGTTTTCTTTGAAGCAATTTTGGCAAACATAGGACATAAATTCATATGGAGGAAACAGATTTCAATACTACTTGACATTTGTGAAGAGGGGATTGTAGAAAAACAACCGAAACTGACTCTTAACTACATGATGTTGAAGTACAAGGCGCCCTAGTTACAGAAGGGATTGTGAAATTGGGTAATTGCTGAATTCATACGCATGTTAAAATGTCGAGTGTTCCCGCCATTTATTTTGCCTAGTCTATCTATGCAGGTATTCTTTCTGTTGAGTAATGGAAATTTGGGTCTGGAGCTTAGCTATATTCCATCTATGTTTGCTTACATTTCTCCCCTGTAGTCTCCGTGAATGGGATAGATTGTTTGAAAGACGTTGTGCCTCTTGTGGAATTCTACTGGCAGCAGAGAGAGCAGGAATATAGTAGAAGTTACTGGGGGTTCAAAAACAAACGTTCTAAGTTTGCTCTGAAGAGCTGGCCCAAAAACAGAAAAGAGTTTTGATCCGGCATCCGACCTATTTAGACGCACGCGCCCTATAATCAGTACCCATTTCCAACCGTTGATATATCTTTACTTGTTTCGAGAAGGAAATGTAGCGTGGTTTTGTTCGTTACTCGGAAAATAAATGACTTGGAAAATATCTTCTGAAAAATGATTGTTTGTATCGCGTAAAATAATTAGTTAATAAGAAAAGTCTTTATCGTCGAGAGCTATTTATGTCTAAACATTGTCGTTGACGGCGAAAATATCTTTCTTTTATTCATTTTTGTAAACGATACAAGCGTTTTTTTAGGAAAATATTTTTTAAATTATTTATTTCCGCGAAACAAACGGAGCCTAACTATAGAGTTCTACTCCCACAATATGGTGCAAGTCCATCGAAGAACTTAGATAGAGATCAATTGCAACATACCAGGTTTTGTATGTTCATCATTATAAAACCAAAATCAAAGAAAATGGTGACGAATGACGATGTTGCAAGCACCTGAATTTTTACGCAATGTTCAACAGAGTACCGAAATTTTTATTTCATTCAATCAAGTACCTCGACTTTTAAGATATAGCTAGATTTGGCCCAATATAGTGTCCCTGTTGAAATATCGGATATCATTAGTCGACATGGAACCCGCCAACACCGCGCCCCCCCCCCCCCCCGTCCTTTCCTTTACATCATTAGTCCACATCCCGCGCAACCACCATCTCCTTGCGGTGTCTGCAGCTCAAATCGGAGGTCGCACCTCATCTGAGGTTCTAGGACCTCTTTTGAAGGCCATAGAGAGAGAAAGTAAGTCATCAACAGCGGTGACGGCACTAGGCACGAGGTCGTGGAGGCGCTACCAGGCATGAAGGCGACAATGGCGGCATCAGGCGGACAGCGGCTGTGGTGTTGTCATGCCCGGAACAAGCACGAAGAAGATGAAACAAGAAAAAAAGGAAAGAGAGAAAAAAGGGAAAAATAGAAAATATATTGGATGAGCAACATATTACAGGCCTTTGTTGGCGAAAAAAAAGGTTTTATATAGTGAAACTTAAGAGGTTATGCTCTGACGAAACGAAATATATTTCCTGACATTTTATCACATTCCAGGAATTGTAGTTGTTTATATTGTGACTGTGAAGTCTTTGCTTTCTATATGTCAAAATCTAATCCTGATCCTTCTCCGATTCTTAGTAATTTTTTCTCCTTAAATTGTTCAATCTGAAGAATGCGCAACTCCGTGGGTGAGTCACAAGAACACTTGCGTGGACAAGTTAGGGGGCTAGGTTATGGATGGGGGTAGTGAGGCGAAGGATGGTGAATCTTGTCAGGGTTACGAGCAATGCTCTCGCTCTTGTGAAGTGATTCGCTTCCGAGCATCGCCAGCTACGATGGCCAGAGTACAACTGTTAGCTTTCTATTTGATAGATACTAGATAACATATTACCTCCTTAATTTTGTATTTAGTTACATTTTGTCCCTCAGAAATTGTGATTTGCATCAACTTGCCCGACACTTTTTTTCTCATTCTAGTTTCAATTAGCATGAAGCTATGGGGTGATTGAGACAAATTATGCCAGAAATCAAACGAGAGGAGCATAATGGAACCAGGTGACAAGTTGAAGAGACAAAATGTGTCTTAGGACTTCACCAACAAGTGAGACCCAGATCGCAGACCACGGCAAAGTTTAGTGCTTGAGCAAGGATGAGAGCGTTGTGCTCAGATTTTCTGCTCATTGGTCTCAAGACCTCATGGAACTTGGCTAAACCAGATCCCCACCTCCACCCTCACATACCTCAGGGGCTCGAGTTTGATCTCTGTGGTCTCTTTGTCGTTCCGTCGAATGGGTCGTGGGCGTAGAGGGATCGCATCGTCCAAATCACAGGCCCCGTTAGTTCGGTCCCCGGAATCCAGCAACCATCGGACTGGCTGTTCGGAGGAAATTGGTCGGCGTCAAATCCATCGTCGAGTGCGGCTACAACATCGCGGTCAGTGGTGGACTTGGAGCTGGAGATTTTGGGCCCGTTTGGTTCAGCATTTAAATGCTGCTTTGAGAGTCTAAAGTCCCTTGAGCAAATACAAAGTTGTTTGGCAAATTTTTTGGCAAGCTTTGAGGAGATGCAATTGCATCTCCAAAGCTTTCCAAGGGCCTTTGGCTAAATGGAGTCCATGAGGAGTCTTGGGAAGTTGCATTTTTGGAATGCAACTCGGGTATTGTTCATTGTCACTGTTCATCCTCTTCTCAAGTAGCTGGTTCGGCGGCCGGCGACCGCTGCTTGAGGGCTAGTGCCCTGGCGACCGCTGCCTAGGGGTCGCGTGACCCCGGCGACCGTTGCCGGACCTCAGGCGTCGCCTGGGTCGTGCAACCCAGAAAAACGTTGCCTAGGTCACGCGACCCAAGCAACGTCTAAGGTCCGGCTACCCCAGGCGGCGGTCGCCGGGGACGCGCGACCCCCAGGCGACCACCGCCTGAGGTCGCGCCACCCCAGGCGGTGGCCGCCAAAGTCGCGCAACCCCAGCGAAACCGCCTGGGGTCGCCGGACCTCAGGCGTCGCCTGGGTCGCACGACCCCAGGAGGTGGTCGTCGAGGTCGCGCGACCCCGGTGAGGTGGCTTGAGGTCGCGAGACCTCAGGTCGCCTCACCTGAGGTCAAGCGAGGCTGGGCGGCAACTAGATCTGGCCGTCGGCGGTTGGCCGGCAACCAGATCTGGCTGACGGTGGTGGCCGGTTGGCCAGCCTTTTTATTTTTTTTCATATCAACAAAAGTCTTTTACAAATAATTTTTACCAAACAGTATTTAGGCCAAAGTTGCTTTCAAATGTGAATTTAAAATACACATTATCAAATACTACTTGCATTTTGAAAAACCCTTTTAGCTTAAAGGCATTTGCATTTTGCCAAATGCATTCCCCAAAAAGCCGAACCAAATAGACCCTTCATTTTTTTTAGTGCCTTCGAGGATGAGGAGATCGGGGCGTCGATAGAGGCCGTGATGGATTTGGGTAGGAAGCCGCTCACCAGGTTCCATCGGGTGATTGGATCATAGCAAAGAACGTTTTCTTTACCTTAACTAGGTTAAAAGTGAATTTATAATAGATCCACTAAAACCCATCTTTTCTTGGCCTTTATCTAAGAACCCATTTATGACCCACATTTCAAATTTTCAGTAACACGCATAACTGAACTACGTAAATTTGAAAATAAATATGAATTTGTAACCATTGCCCTATTCGTGACACGCCGAATTTATGTGACTGAATTAAGCCCATCATTTTCTTTCCTACTTCGGCCGAAGGAAATTTTTCTTTGTATCATTACTAATCTCGATAGTGTATATCAAAATATTAGTCCTTCTATGTATTTTATTAAATTGAACAGTTTCTATAACATTAGAAAACGCAATGCAATTCGCAAATCTTTTGTATATAACCTAATCTGAAACATAGACTACATTGAAACATGCTTTTTACATCTTCAATGGTCACGACGTATTTAAATGCAAGACGAATTTGGCTGCACGTATATCACAGCTGGAACTTTTATATAATGAGCAGCTCTTCCTTCCAATTCAATCTCGACTCAAAATGATACCTTTCTACTCTTCCACGGATACAAATCTACAAAAAAAACAAAAAAAAGGACAAGAACAAGCACAAAATGATACCCATTTACCAGGCAAACGAGAAAAGAGAGGAAGAAGAAGAAGAATAAAAAACCGAGGATTATCACAAGATGAAACGAGGGGCAGTTCAAAGCTGAGATGCCTATCGACCTCCTTTGCACGCTGCAACTCATTGTCCGTGAAGCAGTGCTCCATTCTATGTATATACAACCTCCCCTCTTTCAGTGTCGAAAGCCCTGGGCAAAAGCCCGGTGGAATTTTTCATACATACTATTCCTTGAAGTTGATGCAGTCAATATTGCTGTTAAAGCATGGTTTACACTGAAAGAATGCGTTTGCAACACCATTCAATCAGCTCTTAGTCTCAAAATCTCCTTTGCTGTTCTCCGCCGAAAATAGGGCATATGATCCTGTGACACGGAGAGTTCAATACAATACACAAGGTAAAAAATTCCTTCAAGTATCGTTCAAATATCTAAGCAGGAGAACCACTGAAGATATGGATAAACGGTATCCATATGACCATGATGTGTTAAAATCACCAAGTTGTATTTTAGAGGCCACTAGAAACAGAAAGTAAGCTAGGAGAGTAAAAAGAGGAGCCAATCCAAGCCTCCATTCGTCTTCTCAAGAACATAAAAACCATGAGTGGAAATAAAATATCAAGTCATTCAATTAAAGCCCTAAATACTAAATAAAGTACACAAAACGGTGAGGATGGTAACCTCCACCATCAAAGCCTTCTACTCATTTCGCTCCATCTCCATAACACTTAAATCTATCAGCTACACTCACTTTATATGCTAGTCTGTACTTGAACCTCCAGCAATCCATCCCATATGGCCTAGCCTATACGATCTTGCCTCAAGCATAGGTGGCATTATCTGATCTAAGGAGTTGTCGATAAGGTACATAAACAATAGTATAATAAGCATACGACTTATCTCCTCCATTAAGGTTTGTGCGAACACTGACAGGCATATATAAGCAAAATTACAGATCCTCAAAAGATAAACAGTGCATGACAGAAAAATGACTCAAGATGCCCAAAGGAGAAGCATGCATTCATAGATGTATAACTTATCCATTCCCAACTTTACATCCCTCACCTGGTTGAAACAAAGCCCAAACCCTCTGCTATAGAAATCAGCATACTTGATCATAAACATTCCGCAGTCAAACCTGTTTGTAGAAGATAGGTGAATTAGTAAAAGTAAGTCCTCCTCCAACACAATGAAAAGGAAACCTAAACAATTTGCTCCAGATTAAAGATTTCAGCAAAGCAAGCAAAAGCAACTGAGAAACCAGTTCATCAAAGATTACAAACTACCTAAGGTCGTCTTTCGGCTTGTAAAGGTCATTTCCAACACTCAATGCTCATAATAAGATCTGCAGAACACTCAATCTGACTGAGACTTTTAGTTTATACTCCTAAAATCTTGAATAAAAATGAATTATACATATTTGAATATATGCCTTGCATTTCAGACAATGTTCAGAAGCTAACAATACACCACATGGGAATGCTAACAATACATCAAAAAAACCAATTAATCGGGAAGTCCTCACTCCTCTGCCTCCACTTTCCAGAAACGTTGGTTATCTCAGCCATCATTTTAATTCATCCATTACATATACAATTTGTTATCTATAGACTTTCTTGAAGCAAGAGCAAAATTATTTTTAGTACTTTAAGCAATGTTCCTCTATATTTACTCTTTCCATGTGTTATTAGGATTAATAAGTGGTTTGTATTAGTAAGGTGACTTTTAATGACATTGAACGGTTGAGAATAGAGTTTGCTTACAGTTAATTAAGGGTGGGTTGAGATCATCTTACATATGTAACCACAGTATATATAGGTTTTCAAGTGACTTTTCATTTTCTGTTCCAACTTCAACACTTCTCAATTCTAGCATTGCTTTTGGCTCTTTTTGCTGTTCTACATCCCCAATGCTGTTACTTCTCCTAACAGTAACTACATGAAAATCAAAAAAATGATGCTAGAGGAAAACAAATGGAGTACAAAGTTTACTTATAGGCTGAATAAAGAAATAAAATGAGTACGCACCCATTTTCCTGTGCAGGCAAGTCTGAGACATATTCTTGCTCCCACAAGCCTACGTCTATGTCTTTTCCGCACTTTTCCTTCACTTCATCCACAATGTATCTGGCCTGAGGCATTAATTAAGATTACTGTAAGCTACAATTGGCAAAAACATGGCAAAAAAAAGTGGGCTCTTCATCATTTTCCCTGTCCCAACCTCTCACCTTCCCCCCAACCCTCTTTTCTCCTCTATCTCTCTCACCCCTTCTTTCCTCCCCGTCGCTCTCTCTTCAAAATAATGCAAACAGCTCAAAATAAAATCAAATCGCAATAGACACAAAGCATACCAGCGCTCTCAGCACTCGAGAATCCCTTCCTCCAAGAGAATCCAAATATTGAAATTTCTCATCTTTCTTGTTAATGATGGCTAGACACCAATGTATCTCTTGGTGGATGGGCACAAATATCTAAAACAGAAGGGAAAATTAACGATGATCCATCAAGAGTACAAAAGGCAAAAGCTAAAAATTAGTAAAGTGCTTAAAAAAGACATTAGTTAAGTGCAGCAGTGTTTTACTTTATCGCAGTCGATTAGGCTATAACCCAACTTTTTCTGGGTAGTCCACCTTCTGACAGCGTTATAGTCATACCCGCTCCTGCCACTTGTTAACTGGAACTCAACATGTAAATTAAAAATCTGTCAATAAAACCCAAAGCATTGACAAGCTTTTCCAGTCAATGAACCAGAATTCTATACGCGAAGAGCAATCTGCGAATCCATGATGATAAAGATGACTGGAAATGCGAATAATCATTATCGGAAACGTAAGGAGAAACTGTATGATTGGATAGCAGAAAATGCGGGTTTCTCTAGAACCAACACAACAAGTGTCTTTTGGCCTTTGGGCGCAACATAATTTTTTGGGAAAAACTAAAGTTTAAACATCCATTGATATACTTAATTCTGCCCCAGAAACCTCTTAACTAAGAACCCAACAAAATCCTAAAGCCGAACCCTATTGATGTACATACAGCACACAATGACAGCTGAGAGATGATAAGGGGAGAAATCAGGACCAAGACTAAAGAAGAAACTTAGCTAGTTCAGACAGAATTAAATAGTAACGGTCAGGAATGAACCTTCTTGTAGAAAAATGTGTTGAAAAAATGACACTTCAAGAACTTCTGTGGATTTCTTTTCTCCCTTTCCTTCAATAACTCAAGATACAAGTTTATGACCTGTGAAGGAAGGATGTAAGAACAAATGAAGAGCTTGGTACATTCCAACAAAGCATTCAGTCATCAATGGGTGAAGTCTGATGACACAATTTAAGGTCAACCTTCTTCCAAAGCATCACAAACCTTGACTAGAATAAGCTTTACTTCTTATAGAGTATAATTGTAAATTCTATCAAAAAGAGAATGCAGGTAAATGAGAAATTACCTCATCATTTAACCAGGCACCAGGTCTAAGGCACAACAAAGTTTCTCCTGTGATCTCAATGCCAGAGTTCTCATGATTCACAAGAACCCTCCTCCTGCACATGCCAATCTTGACATTATCATATGAACTATATTGCCAACCATCTAGAGCAAACATTCTGTCTCTACTCATACCGGTTGCCAGAAAGTGCACGCTGCACCTCTGCCTCCTCCTCATCCGTAAGAGGAATGAAAGGCTCAATAGGTACTCTCTGAAATCAAAACACGAAGACCATAAGAAGCTAGAGGTAATCTAAGCCTAAACTTGCCAAGTATCATGTACATTCTAATATCAAAACCAAAAATATAACTCACCTATCACCAAAAAAAGGACAAACATCATTGAAGGAAATTACCTCATCGGATTTTTTGGCTGGACGCAACTCTTGAAGCAAGGACCTTTTCTCCTCGTGTAATTTTATCTCGAAATCCAAATTACCAAGTTTAGCATCCCGCCTCCTCGCGTCTTCAAGCAACTTCTGGTAGGCAGACTTGCTCAGAACCTCGAGATCGTCGGGATTTAAGGACAACATGTCCAGCATCTTCTCTGCAGTCTCCATCCCCACATTCCCATTACTCAGCTCCGACACGACGGATTCCTGCGCATATCCCGCGGCACGATTTTCGTCCTTTCGCCTACTACCCGACACAACAGACCTCTCTCTTCCATCTCCTAAGCCGTCTATTTCCTCCACACTCGAATCCGGGGACGCGATCACCTCCCTAGGTTCCTCCTCCACCAAGTCAATCACTTCCTTCTCTCTTGTCAAGTATCTCAACGCGCGCAACGCGCTCGCCTTCGCCCTATTGTACTTGCTAGTCAACCTATTACCCATGATATCGCTACCACCGTATTCCTCGTTACCGAAAGAAATCCTACCCGACACAGACGCGGACGTCCCGAATTTGCTCGCCCTCACCGGGGCATGGACCTCGCGGCGCAGCTCGCTCGTGGCTTCCGGGTATCTGGAGATCCTGGAGACGGCGCTCTTCGAAGGAACGGCGCGGCCGGGGGATTGCTGCATCGGCGGGAACCGCCGCGGCCTCTTCGAGGCGTGGAAATCCGGCGAGCGGTGGAGCTTCGGCCGCCCTCCGCTGCTCAAGCTCGAGAACTCGTCGCCGCGCTTCCGGTTGATCGTCAGCCCGCCCATCGAGAACCGTCGGAGCCCGAGAAGAACCCCTCGCCCATCTAAGAAGGCCCGCGTTTCGCCATAGCCAATCGAGAGGGTCGAAAGCTCGAAACCTAGGGTTTCGAAACACGCGAAAGGCTCGAATTGAAATACAGATGCTATATTTAAAAGGGAAAGGTGCAAAAAAAGCAATAAACCTATTATATTAATGTCAATTCAATAATAAATTTTTCGATTTGATTAATTTTATCATAAATCTTTTTCATCATGTCAATTTAATCCTAAAATTTTAGGAAAATTCCATATAAAGGCTTTAAGTGTCATCATTTTCTCAAATAAGGATTTCTGGCCAGTAGGCCAACATATGACTATTCCAGCAATGGGGCATTATAGTCAAAAAAATTTCAAGTATATATATATATATATATTTTTATTTTTTTTACTTTTCCTTTTACTTTTTTTGTATTTTCTTTTTTCTTTTTTCCTCTTCCCTCTGGCCATCATCGCACCTCGCTGGAGTCAGGCAAGGGTTGCCCTCGCCTAGTCTTGACAGCCTAGGGTTAGGCCAAAGTTGCCTACGCTGCGAGAGAAGCTTTAGCTTGCCCAAGTGAGGGCAACCCTCGCCTGATGCCGACAAGGGCGACTCTCGTCGGTGTCTCATATGATTCCGCCAACCATCAACGAGGCCCGGCGATGGCCAGCGGAGGGAAGAGGAAAAAGAAAAAGAAAAGAAAAGAAAAATATAAAAAGGAAAAAAGAGAGAAAAAAGTAAATGACGAAAATGTCCTTCAGCCAGCGAAGTTAGGCCCTTCTTTGCGACTAATATGACCACTTCAAATTCTTATTTGAAAAAATGAGGGCACTTAAGGTCCTTATTTGGAATTTTCCGTAAAATTTTTACATTTATATCAATTGAGTCCATCCGGTCAATTTAAGCCATAAATTGCTAACATGGACGCCAGCCATCTCACACGGCACGACTAACACTGACCTGAAAATTTTTAATAATTTTTCGATTTCTTTATTAATTTTTCTTTTCTTTTCTTTTTCCTTGTTTTCTTTTCGTTTTCCTTTATGGCAGGTAGGTTCGCCAAAGCTCGCTAGCCACTGGGTGAGGGGTTGCCGGTGCCTAGTCTCACCCATATGTGGGTGAGAGTTGGAGGTGGGCGCAGGTGCGGGCAAAGGCAACCTCGGGCTTGCCATCCGGTGAACCTAGATGGAAAAAGGCAAAAAAAGAAAAGAAAAATAAAATAAAATTTAATAGAAAATTCTAAAAAATTATTTAAAGTTTTCACGTCAGCACCCGCCTTGTTGTGTAGGACAGCCAATGTCCACGTTAGTAATTTATGGCCTAAATTGTCCGGATAGACTCAATTGGTGCAAACGCAAAATGTTTAGGATTAAATTGACTCAATTAAAATATTTAAAATTGAATTGACACTAATGTAATAGGTATACGTATTTTTTGGTACTTTTTTCGTATTTTAAAAGTTAATATTGAAATTATCTAATTTTGGCCACGATGCTTTTCAAAAATTAGAAATTTGACACCCCCGTCGTGTTTGCAAGCGAAAATCACAAATTGAAAATATTAATTTTTGCCACCATTCTTTTTTTGTTATGTTAGACTTAAAAAGTAAAGTCATGGAGCAATCTCTCTCTATCTCTCCGCAAATAATTTCATTTAAAATGACAATTATATATTTGCTTCCCCTCCTATAAAGAGGAGGAAGTGAGCAATATTTTTATTCACCTCCCTTCTTCAATGACTTTGCTCTATTTTGAGATCGAGCAAAGTAGCTCCAATCCTTATGAAAATGGACTTGACGCGAGGGCATGTCCGAGACTGATTTTACCCTAATTCTTAGAAAATTGTATGAATGGTGTTGCTTGGAAGATATGATGTGCAACGTGCGATATTAAAATGTCCAGTGCCATATCTATATACAATCAATTTAGTAACTAAACTTTATAAATAACCCTTTTTAGTGCCAAAAACCATTTTAAAAAAAGTCTATTAAGTGACTCCAGCGAGCCATCTATTGTTAAAATAATCCTACATCTTTCGAGCAAGCTAAGTCATGGAAGTCTTCGACCAAAAAAAAAAGTCATGGGAGTCGCTTAAATAATCGTTTTTTTTAAAGTTATGTCATTTAAATGATCTTTGAACTAAATTCGACGTCAAAGTAGATGTTAGTACAACGGTTTTGGCATTGATGGTGTCTTATCCCGATAACTTTAAATAATTAAATTAAATCAAGAGAATATACCAGAAATCCTAGATAATAAGTTATCACCCACTTCAAGTGAGGTAGCAAATCAACAAGTAGGTGGTAAAATAATAAGTTTAGACAAACTTTTACTTTTATAATATTCTAATTCTGATTTTTATACCCCGTTACTAATTTACACATCTCAATAAACCACAAATTTTCTACTAATAAGTATAAAAAGTCATATGACCAAAAAAAAGTAAAAAATTAAAATATGAGCGTTACAACTTTTTTTAAAAGAGAGACTTTCTTTTAAGAAAAATAGAATTTTTTTTGTTTTGGTCCATAAGAAAAAGAGAGAGTTGAAGTCGAAGAGCCAAAAGTAAAATACCACCCGACGTCATCCTCGAGATCGTTCCCGGCTCCGGTGACCTCACCAAGAAGCTCCTCGGCGCCGGCAAGTCTGTACTTGCCGTCGAGCTGGGCCTTTGCGTGGTTCTCGAGCTCCAGCGCTGGTTCTAGGGGACCCCTTACCAGAATGGTTCGAAGGTAATTGAATTGAATCGCGTTGTCTTCTCTTTTTGCTGTTTCCTTGTCTGTTCTAGAGAAGGTGATGGATTTTGCAGGTGAAAAAAAAGGTGCTTCATTGATGGGTTCATTGTGGGCGTTTGTCACTTGTGGGGTTGGTCATTTAGTATGCGATTTTGTGAGACTTTGAGGAACTAAAGGATTTTGATGGCGAATGAATTGACTGTAGCTGGGTCTGCTGTATTGCGACTGTCGTACAAATTTGATGAAATGGGAGTAAGAGAATATTTTTTTTTTAACACCCATTTATGAGTACATAGCATCAAACTACAGTGTTCAGCTGCTGTTGTAATTGCTTTTGGAGAACTATTAAAAGTTAGAAAATGATACAGTGTAATTGGTCTGTGAAAAAAGTCACACTTTCTAAATCTCTTGCGTTGTACCTTACTTGGTTACAGATTTGAAAAGTAAATGTGGAGGAGTATACAGCAGGTTATTCAAGGTTTGTCAGTACCACTAGTCTTTGCGTTCGTAAAAAGGTGTAAATTAAATCTATGGGCTGGGGGCAGCCGAAGAGCCACTGTCTTGTTCCCCTTGCAAACCCTGAAATGTGTGTACTAATCGAACAGCTTGAGTTGTGGAGATTATGAGGCTGTCCTGCTCTTTCAGTTTCTCACCGTGTGTATCACTCTCTTGGTGTTGTGCATGTTCTGCTTCGTTGAGTTGTGGAGATTGTGTGGCTGTTCTTGTATTGCTTTTGAGTACCTAGAGTAGTGTTATTTAAGAGGCGGGTCAAAAGGATCGTAATTTACTTTGGATCTTTGAGTAGTCATACTCAGGTGATGCTTGTGTCTTTGCTATCAACAAAATGCTCTTCAAGCCAATGCTAGGCAAATATGTGAAATTCAATCACTGACTTAAGGATGCCATGCACTTTGTTCGATAGGGCTTGTGCTTGATTGTTCCATGGTGATGGGCTGGAAGGTTTATATCAATTCATTGTCTGTCGTTTTGCCAGTAACAAAGCAAGTGGGGTTGTTTGAAACCTGCCTTCCTCCCAAAGGAATTATGATAACGATAATGCATGCTTGATCAAGAAAATTGAAGTGTTGCAAACTGGGTGAAGAGAGGGATAGAGAAATAATTGATATGCTTGCCGATCAATAAGGATTTTTTTTTATAAATTTTTCCCCATATTCAATTTGAGGTCTCCTTGTTGGCCTGTGCCCCCCAAGTGATATCAGGGGTCGCACGACCCCGACAGTTGCTTGTGAAAAGGGGTATTTTGAAACAAAGTCCACTCTAGGGAGGAACTTTGAGAAATTGGCACCACTTTGGGAAGATTCTTGGAATTTTCTCTTTATTCTTTAGAAATTGCTAGAGATATGGCTACTGGGAAGTTCTGGTTATTATGGTTTAATCCTGCTAGAGTCTCATTTCTTTGCATCGTCTTTATATGTAGCATTGAGGAGCATTGCATAACTAGTGTCTAAGTATAAACATCTCTGAGTATAGCTGCAGAAACGCAATTGTCCAGCTTACGGTAGCTTATTCTTTGAATTTTGTCCAATAGTATGGTCATGATGTTATGAAAGAGTTAAACTACCGGTAGTGCTTGATCAGCTCAGTATAATACAAAGTCAGTCATAGTATTGTTCAACGCTTGAGAGAAGTAGTCTTTGCTATATTCTATAAAAGCCATCCTGGAATTGAAGTGTGTTGATTGCATTATGAGGTACGTTGAAGGAAAAACAGTAGTCAATAGAAATTGGTAGGGAGAAAATTGTGGTCAAAATTGCAACTCCTGCAAGGTCTTCTGTGATATAGGTGACTTTTGCCCTATGATGCCGGTGAGTTTGTGGTGATAACTGTGTAAACCCCAATCCTTTGGCATGTAATAAATAACATCATTGTTAGAGTTTTCCAAACATCTTCTGTTCGTATTTTTCACAATGGTTGATTTTTGACGGTCCTACTGTACATAACTTCATGCGACTTAAAGTTGAGTATCACAAACAAAACGATTGATGAGAATTTGCAACACATGATTTGGATGATGCCTACATGTGTGTCATGTGCATGGTTCAAAAAGTTTTTTTACAATTAACTTGTCAATTGGCAGCCACTAAGCACATGATCAGGTGGTAGGGTTGCAGGGGAGGTAGGAGACCAAAATCGAATTTCGGGAAAAATAAAATAAAAAGCTTACTGATCCCCAAACATGTCGATTTTTTCTCTATTTCTCTCTTCACCCAGTTTGCAACACTTGATCAGGTTAAAAGAAAAATAAGAAAATTCTGTCAAAGTTCAGTGTAATTATCCATCTTGGTGCTCATTTAACTTTCCAATCATGAATACATGCAGATGGGGTATTTTAAGCAAGTTACTTATCAAATTGTTAATAATTAAAGCAGGTTGCTATGCAATCTACCAAAACTATAAAGACATCATTCGTACAGTAGTTTCAGACTAGTGTACAATATGCATGATTTGAAGGAAGAAGCGGAAGTTTAGGGGTCTTGGGTCATCCTTTTCTTTCTCTTTTGCGTTAAAAAATCCGGTCACTGATTTTGATATTGAGAATTAGCTCATAGGGTTCATGTCCGTAAGGCAGTGTGTATTCTTTGCCCGACTTGTATCGGGTTACTTTTCCTCACTTTGTTTTTAGCCATTTTTTCATTGCTTTCAAGTGACATGAGGTTTCAATTTTAGTTGATGGGGATCATGCCTGGGCTCAATAACAGGCTATGTACTCTTATTCGCCAAATTAGTATCGGGTTTTTTTTCTCGTACTTTCCCTTATATTTTTTATTACTTTGTTTCTGTACATGTTTCTGCTACTTTTGATTTCCTTTAGTTTCGTTCGACGATTACTTCACATTTTAGCGATAATCTCAATCAATCCAAACAACTATGCATGAACATTTAGTGAATAGAACCTTAATTAGTGTAATCAAATCATTATACTTAGAATTTCTAGTTCGTAGGAAGTAGAACGTCCTCCAAGTTCTACTTGCCTCCTAGCCGGCCCTAATAAGCTAGTGGTGACTCACTTCTAGGATATAATCTCGTCTTTAGATCATTATGAATGACTTTCCTAATCGTGTGCAGTAAGGGTTTGGGAGAACCTACGTTGAGCGAGATTGAGCAAACCTTCGACGAGAGGTGACACACATTCCCGCTCGATGATCTGCTAAACCAGTTTTTCCGACCTTGCTCCGGGACGGTCGCGACATTACTCAATGCAATTAAGATAAGTGACCGCATTATTCTCTACCCTTTTTTTCTATCACTAGACAAAATTGTTTTTTTAAATTGCTATCTCACCTCATTTCTCCTCTCTTCTTGGTGCCTAAGTTTTGAAGAGCTCTTCCCATCTCGTCTTCTAATGACAAAACATGTTGTGTATATATAAAATAGATGGCGTTCAGAGTGTGTTCAACAGTTGGTGATTGTCTTAATTTCGGCATTCCCACTGGACATCATCACGCGATGGGAGACATGACTTTGAAGGATGAGCCCCCAAAGGAATAATGTAGCTCTTTGTTTGCATTGTTGCGGGCTGCCAAAGACAGCATCATGAGCAGAGAAGCAACACAAAAATCTGGAGTTCCTCAAATTATCAAATAGGACATGGCTTTGAATCTGGTAATGCTCTTTTGATATATCATGGTTGATGAAACTCGAGTGTTGTTAATTCTATACTAGATCATTGCGAGTCTTGGTTTACTATATAGTTGAATTCCTAATTTCCTATGGCGATTAGTTCATGAAATATTTAGTGATTGCTAGAGAGGTTTTTCAGTACTAAAGCTATTATGGAGTTCAAAATTAATCATCAAACGTGGTCACTTCATTGTGTCCATGTTAGACCCGAGAAGATAACATTCTCTACCTTTTTATTACAATGGGCCATTAGAATTTTGCGAAGAATCATCAATGCGTCAATGGGAAGATCTTGTGAATAATTCTGGTTTTGTTTTGATTGTTGGTTGTCTCTTTTTACTTTTGACTCGTTATAAAGCTCAGGTTTGTCATTCGATTCCTATTTTCTGCCACTGATGGTAACATGCTTATGTTTAGGCTGAACAATGGGTCAATAATATGACCAAAGTTTCCAAGGACGAGCAAATACAGGCAGAATCCGAGGGTTGACCGTCTAGGTCAGTATCGGCCATCTTCTTAATATTCCCATGTAATATTTCCCTAGATGTTTGCATTGTTAAGTCGAATTCAAATCTTCCTATAGACTCGGTCTTGGTGCAAAGTTTTCATGTCAAATGAGACCTGGACCTTCGAATGATCCCGTGGAAAGGAAATTGTATGCTGACTTGCAGTCTGGAAAAAGAAAATGCGAAAGATGCTGAGGAGTCTGGCCTAACTGCTACAGATCCAGGCGGTGATAGTGGTATCGATGACTAGTTAGAAAGCAGAGCATGTGCTTTTGCAAAGAAGAGAGTAATTACTCCACCCGTCTCTTTAACAATGAAGAAGAAACGGAGATAAACACTTGAAAGGTTTATTTTTTTGGTCGTCGAAAGGAAAACCTGGACTGTTTGAACAGGGTTAGTTCTTCCATAAGATTATTCCCCTTGTTTGCTGAGATGGAAATACAATAGGGATTCTTCATTTCCCTACTACTCCATAAGAGAGGGCCACTTGTCCATTGACTTTCCAATGTGCTAGCCAAGTGAGGCTTGATACAATGGCTAATCTATTATGTTGCTAGTTTTGATTTTCTTATTGTGTATCTTGTGTCATATTATATAATCTGTTACTTTTTTTTTTAATAAAAAAAGATGATATACATAATCAAATTGAAACGAGTGTTCAAGGCTAGGAACAAGCTATCAGGAACATACCTAGGGAAACAAGTAGGCCTAATGAGGTAGGGGTGTGTAAAAGAACCGGGAACCGCCCGTAATCGGACCGGATCGGTGGTTCCTAAGGGAACCAGTCCGGTTCCCGATTCCAATAAAATTGGAACCGGTGGGTACCGGTCCGGTTCCCAGTTCTAGATGTGGAACCGTCCGCCTGCCCAACCGGACCAGATCGAATATATATATTGTTGTAAAAGTAAACGGTGATATTTGGAATCAACTCATAAATCAACTTGAAGTATAATATGAGAGAAAGGAAGAGATAAGAGAGAAGTGAGGAGCAAATGTTAACCCTTGTTACTCACATCAACAAGTTTACAAAAGCCTATATTTATAGGCTAGAGGGTACATGAATAATATAGGTACATTGTACATGAATGTATGTGTTCATGTATACTATTAATGGAGGAGGTGATCATATACATTGAAAGAGGGAATGTATAGAACTATTCATTGAATGGTGAAAAGTGATACATCCGCATCATACAATGTATTTATAACACTCCCCATTGGATGTTCACCTTTTATTATACGCTGTTTAGACTACCTCATTAAAAAAAAAAAAAACTTTGCCAAGAAAAACCCAGTGGGACAAAAACTTGGCGAAGGGAAAATGAGTACAGTGCGTATAATACTCCCCCTCATTTTAATAGTCATTGCACGTAGGCTGCCTCATTAAAAACCTTTGGCAAGTAAAAACCCTGTGGGAAAAAAAAACTTGGCAAAGGAAAAAAGAGTACAGTCATAAACCTTCTGGGTTCCATTCTTCAGGGATGGTTAATTCGCTCCCCTTGATTGAAGTAGTCGTCCAAGTCGACGCATTCCTATTCCATATACAAGTTTTTCAAATGTGGAAGTAGGTAGGGATTTAGTGAACAAATCTGCAAGATTGTCACTAGAGCGAATTTGATGGATATCTATTTCACATTTTTCTTGGAGTTCATGCGGGTAAAATAACTTAGGTGAAATATGTTTAGTTCCGTCACTTTTGACAAATCCATCATGCATTTGTGCAATGCAAGCCGCATTATCCTCATAAAGTATAGTGGGGGCATCATGAATTGAGGATAAGCCACATGAATCTTGAATGTGATGTATCAAAGTTCTTAACCAAACACATTCTTTGGCAGTTTCAAATAATGCAATAATCTTAGAATGATTTGAGGAAGTAGAAACCATACTTTGTTTTACTGACTTTCATAAAACTGCCGTGCCTCCACAGAGGAACACATAACCAGTCTATGACTTGGCATTATGAGGATCAGACATATAGCCAGCATCTGAATATCCCACCAATGTTAAATCTCTGTTTCTTTGGTAAAATAAACCAAGGTCAACGATTCCTTGGAGGTAACGTAGGATATGTTTAACGCCATTCCAATGTCTTTGAGTTGGATTGGCACTGTGTCTAGCTAGAACATTTACTGCAAATGCAATATCAGGCCTGGTGCCATTTGCAAGATATAACAGTGCTCCTATGGTGCTAAGATGAGGAACTTCAGGTCCTAACCTAACCTCTCTTTCCTCTTGAGGTCTAAATGGATCTTTTTCCACTTCAAGTGAACGGACCACCATTGGTGCGCTTAGAGGATGAGATTTATCCATATGAAATGTTTCCAATATCCTTTTTTGTATAATTAGACTAGTACAATAAAACTCCTTTTGGGAGGTGCTCAATCTGCAGGTCAAGACAATACTTGGTTTGACCCAAGTCTTTCATTTCAAATTCCTTCTTTCGGCAAGAACGAGTTTCTTCGAGCTCTTTTGGAGTTCCAGTTATATTTAGGTCATCAACATATACAGATATGATGGCAAAGCTATTTGGTGACCTTTTTATGAATACACTAGGACATATTATATTGTTTACATATCCCTGCTTCAGGAGGTAATCACTTAACTGGTTGTACCACATGTGACCGGATTGTTTAAGACCATATAATGATATTTGCAATTTAATACCGTACATGTGATTTTCTTTCTTTCCCATATAAATATGTAGTCACAACATCCATTAAGTGCATATCTAGATTCATACTTACTGCCACACTGATCAAATAACGGAACGTAATGTTGTCCATTACAGGAGAATAAGTGACATCAAAGTCTATACCGAGTCTCTGTGAAAACCCTTGGGCAACTAGTCTCGCTTTATATCTTACCACCTCATTCTTTTCATTGTATTTTCTTACAAACACCCATTTATATCCAACAGGGATAACATCTTTGGGTGTTCGGATAATAGGTCCAAAAACACAACGTTTATTAAGCGAGTCTAGTTCTGCCTTAATTGCCTCCTTCCATTTATTCCAATTTGAATGCTTCTAGCATTTAAGAATGGATTTTGGTTCTAGATCCAGATTATCTTTTGAGACAGTGAGCGCTACTGAGGAGGCAAAGGAGTCGTCGATGACAATTGTAATTCTATCATATCTTACTCCCCTATTCATATAATTTACTGCAACTTCTATGTTAACATCAACCAAATCCTCTTCGTTTCCCAGATCAATAGGATTTGGACGTTCCGTATTCCCGGGATTGTTATTTGGGACAGCTGCACTAATTTCACCAGGATTGCATTCCTCTACAGAAGGTGCATTGGGTGACTGAATGTTTTTTCTTTTCCGCGGATTTATGTCTTTAGCTCCTGTGGGTCGTCCACGCTTCCGGCGTTGACTAGGCTCATTAGACATTTTTGGTCCCAAAGGGATCTCCACTCTAGGTAGTGCGTTTTCTGCAGGAATATGGGACTTAGTCACCCCTTTATGATCAGTAAATGCATCTGGCAGTTTACTTACTAAATTTCGCAAGTTAATAATCTTCTGAACTTCAAGTTTAGTCGTGCTTGTACGTGGATCAAGGTAATTCAATTGATCTTCCTTCTAGGAAATTTCACGGCATTCTTTAAGCTTCAGGCTTTCTCCCCCTAATGTCGGGAAATGTAACTCATCAAATATACAATCAGCGAACCGGGCAGTAAACAGGTCGCCCGTATGAGGCTCCAAATATTTTATAATAGATGGAGACTCATATCCCACATAAATGCTAAGTCGACGTTGAGGCCCCATTTTGGAACGCTTTGGAGGTGGTATAGGAACATATGCGGCACAATCAAATATTCGCAGATGGGAAACATCAGGTTCACATCCACGTACAAGTTGAATCGGGGAGTATTCATGATATGCAGTAGGTCGAATTCTAATCAGTGTTGCAGTGTGCAATATCGCATGTCCTCATAAACTAATTAAAGGGTAATTTGGCCCTCAACAGCAATGGTCTAGCAATCATTTACAAGCGTTTAATTAAAGATTCTGCTAGGTCGTTCTGTGTGTGAGTATATGGCACAGGATGCTCCACGTCTATCCCAATGGCCATACAATAGTCATCAAAAGCCTTAGACGTAAACTCACCACCATTATCTAACCGGATCTTCTGGATCGGGTAATCAGGGAATTGTGCATGTAATTTAATTAGCTGAGTGAGTAATTTTGCGAAGGCCATATTATGTGTTGTCAGCAGGTCAACGTACGTCCATCGCATTGAAGCATCAATCAGGACCATGAAGTACCTGAAAGGTCCACATGCAGAGTGGATAGGCCCACATATATCTCCTTGAATTCTATGCAAAAATATAAGAGATTCCACCCTTACTTTTGTATGAGACGGCCGTACAATTAATTTACCCTCAGTGCACGCATCGCATACATAATCGGTCGGTGAAGGGAGCCCACGATTTGTTAATGAATGCCCAACTAAATGTGTTAATATTCGGCGTATCATATTTGACCCTAGGTGACCCAAACGGTCATGCCATAATTGAAAACCTTCCGGGTTTGTGAACTTCAGGTTCATCGCAACATGTTTATTACTCATATGTATATAAGTATAGCATAACCTGAAGGAGAATGATGGTAACTTTTCCATAATTTGTTTTCTGTAGCCACTCATCTGGATTAGATACAAATATTCTTTAGCACCTTTGGTCTCGGTTTCAACGTGAAACCCATTAGAACGAATATCTTTAAAGCTAACCTTTTAGACTGTAGGCAAAATAAAGCATCATTAATGAAAATTTCTGTGCACATTGGTAGTATTACACGAGCTCTTCCGAAGCCTGTAATTATGTTACTATCGCCTGAAATAGTGGTAATATTCCCTTCACAGTTTTTCAATTTCTCAAAGAACTTCCTCTGCTTGAGGATAGTATGTGTAGTACCACTGTCTACAAGACAAAGAATATCATTGTTCTCCTCAAATAAATTATTTAGCATCATTGATTACTAACATAAAAAGAATAAGAAATGAAATTATAATATTAAACATGAATATTATTCAAAACTAAGAGAATACATGTGAATAAACACAAACTTATATAATATATATATATATATATATATATATATATATATTGCTTAATCTAAATCACCAAAATGATCAATATCAAGAGATGTATTGTCAAGAGATGATTCTTTATTCTCTATTGAGGGCTTGGTTGCAACATTGGCTTCCCTTTTTCTCTCATCTTGTTATCTTTTATAGAGGTTAACCAGGTGCTTTGGGGTGCGACAAATGCGAGGCCAATGGCCTGTAGAACCACATCTATGACAAACATTGGCACCAACTTGGTTAGGTACTTCTGGACCTTCTTTTCTTTGTGGACCATGCTTAGGTCCTTGTGAACCTCTATTTCGGTTCTTATAAGGCTGATTTTTCAAGTTACGCCCTTTGCCCTTCCAACGTCCGTGGCTCTTGTTATTATGACGTGCGATATGTGCTTCAGGCACAGGTGCAGATCCAATAGGACGAGAATTATGGTTTTGCATCAAAAACTGGTTGTGCTTTTTAGCTACAAGTAGTGCAGAAATTAACTCTGAATGCTTGGAGTAATTCTTTGCCCTATAATGCTGCTAGAGTACAAGGTTATTGGCATGAAAGGTAGATAATGTTTTTTCCAACATTTCAGTCTTTGTGATCTGCTGGCCACAGAGTCTTAGTTGTGATACAATTCGGTGAATAGTAGAATTATATTCTACTACGGACTTAAAATCCTGAAAGCGTAAGTTGATCCATTCAAACCTGGCATGAGGAAGGACCGCTTCTTGTTGATGATCAAAGCGATCTTTCAGGGATTGCCATAGAAGTGCAGGGTCCTCCTCAGTCAGATACTCAGTCTTTAAATCTTCATGTAAATGGTGGTGGATGAAGATAAGAGCCTTAGCCTTCTGGGCTGGAGTACAGTTCGATTATGGGAGAATAGATTGACTGAGATCTAATGATGTTAAGTGTATCTTGACATCAAAAAGCCTATGTTAGATAATTACTGCCGGTAATATCTAACATTGCAAACTCTCTCTGGGTAATATTTGACATACTTAAAAAGAAATTGTAGAGATATTAAATAATTGAGAGGTAAAGGTATGTTACCTTGAGTGATATCCAAGATTCTAACCGGCTCGTGCTAATAACGTGTTGTAAAAGTAAACGGTAATCTTTGGAATCAACTCAGAAATCAACTTGAAGTATAATATGAGAGAAAGGAAGAGATAAGAGAGAAGTGGGGAGCAAATGTTAACCCTTTTTACTCACATCAACAAGTTTACAAAAGCCTATATTTATAGGCTAGAGGGTACATGAATAATATAGGTACAATGTACATGAATGTATGTGTTCATGTATACTATTAATGGAGGAGGTGATCATGTACATTGAAAGAGGGAATGTATAGAACTATTCATAGAATGGTGAAAAGTGATACATCCACATCATACAATGTGTATATATATATATAATTACTTAATTTTTAATTTTTTTAAAAAAATGAAAAATCCTGATACCTAAATCTCTCTACTCTACTCTCGGTCATTCATCCCATCTCGGTCTCTTCTTTCTTCTCTACTCTCGTCTCAGACACACCTCGTTCTCTCCGTCTCTCGTCTCGAGCATCGACTCACGGCCTCAACTCCCATTGACGAGAGAAGCCCATATAGAGCCTCTTGAGGCTTGCAGCAGGTTGTGCAGTAGGTGTGTGCAGCAGCTTGATCGGGTGCCAGGTGTGTGCAGTAGGTTGTCTGGTTGTGCAGCAACCTGAGGGTCTTAGGCTCATTCTAAGGGGTTACTTTGCCTTATCATCTAATGAGTGTTGTAGTAAAATCATGACCGAAGGAACCCCTTACAATGAGCCAATGCTGAGACAGGCCCAGAAACAAGAATGTGGTGAACACAAGTTACACAACCCACCAAAATCAGTTATCTGATTTGTTCAGGGAAGCTTAGTGGGACCGGTCTAGTCCGGTTCCTGGGTGGGTCTATGGAACCAACGGGCGGTTCCCGGTTCCAAGGTGGGAACCGCCCATTCGGACGACACTCACCCCTATAATGAGGTGCTTCAGAGCCGAAAACTCTAGCCAAAATAGCTGATTTTTCAGTACGTTCCCAGACAAACTCTCCCTCTTCACCAAGTACATGGAATATTGCAATGCGAATTTTACTCATCAGTATGGCATGACTATGCCTCTTTACGAAGCTTTTTGGTGAGCTTCACAGCCGAGTATTTGACGTAGATCTTGCACAGAAGCGCCTTCAACTCTTGCTGGAACTTTCAATCCTGGAATCCATCACGAAACATCAGTTGTCTCCCGAAGCTCATTATTCCTATACGAGTGCTTCTAGTGCAGTTGGTAGAGCCACCAAAGTCATCGCTCGTGTGTTAGCTCTTACAATTGGAGAAGACATTCATTGTGTTACTAGCCCAGAGAGGTGCTGTCTTCAGGCTGAAGGAAGGCACGTAGTTGGTTCAACTGGTGATGAGTGTGACAATAAAACTCGAAAAGTAATATCCGATCTCTTGTAAATTTTTAAGATGGAGAGTATAGATTAAGTTATTGTGCATTGGTTCCATCTGCTGGTTCGAAACAGTTTCTGATGAATGGGTTGTTGAATTTGTAGAGGACCATCTATCGCAACTCTTCCAAGATTGCAACTCACACTCCCTTTTGGCCTTTTATTTCCACCTGCTTTCTCTATTATGGCATTCCTCATGCAGAGGCCATTCATTCTGAATTTGAATCTTACGGTGCTTAGACATTCATCAAATGTATCAAATACTGTCAATGGCCATGAGCAATGCACGAAAAACACCTTATGTTCCAGGATGTTTGTTTGAGACACTGGGGGTCTGTATGGTCTAGTATCTGCACATACAAGTAAATTCTGTATTTGTATTCATGCTAGAGTAGCGCGGAATCGGCTGGCATTTGAAAATAATGGCCTTTGCTTGTCCCTCTTCATGCTCTGCTCTTCCTCGATGTGATAATTAACTTTACAAAGGATGATAGGAGTCGAATACTGAACACAGGAATCTGAACATCACTGTGCCGAAAACCAAACCAAACTTTGGGATTGGATTGTGCATGTCTTGAGTACCCTAAATATAACTTTAGTAGACGTGATATGTTCATTGGCAGTGACTGGAGCTGAGGCTTCTTTTGAATGACCAGGCTTTAATGAAAAAGCGCATGATATAGCATGATATAACTTTAGTAGACGTGAAATTTGGCTAACTGCGACAATAGATAGCCACATGAACTGCCTACAAACTATTCGTTGTCATCATAAATCAACCAACTATAAAATGAAGTGCCGGTGGCTATTAGCCATGATGGCAGCTCAGACAACGGCAGAGACCAATCTCTTAGGTACTAACTGATACGAACAAATGGACCCTTAGAACTCGATCAGTCAAGCTCATATTGATGTTAAATCCACTCATGTAGTCAACAGAATAAAGATTAGTTCCATCATGGAAACAATTAAGAGGCTAATTTGTACATCTATGCATGAGGGAGCCCATAGATTCAAATTAATCTCTAAGGACTGATTATGCCATGAAGATGTTTTTTTTCCCTTTTTCTTATTTTCTCTTGTGCTAATTACAATCCCGAGATCTTCAAGGGATACACAAAAACCTACCACAAGTTTTCAAGGGGTGTATTCTCTGAATTATACCGCTCAACTCAAAGATGGCAGGACTTTATCATGTAATACAAGGCCAGGGAGTACCACCTGGCTAAATTTCTGCATCCTTAACTATACATCTGGGCCTTATTATAACCATCGCTATCTACAAAGGATCGGGGTAAACTACCTTGTGTCTCTTCACACGAGCTGCACGACAGCAGCGACCCGCAAGGCACCATTTTGGAGGAGATCGGGGAGCTCATCAAATAAGAGAGCTGTTCGCCAACCCCATCCTTTTGGAGCTTTTGGCAAAAGAGTGCCCCTCTGTTTAAAACTTCCAAAGACCATGACTTCTCTTTTCGATGGACAGATCAGCTGAATTACAAGGACATAGCGATGCAGAAGTTAACAAGCTATAAAGTGACCACGTAATCAATTCAAATGATATTTGACCTTTTAAATAACAGTTTTTGAATTAGAATCCTACCTGATACCGAGCAGTAACCTTTTCACGAGTGTCTACATACACATGAAACTGCCAGAGAGAAGTTGTAAAGGATGAGTTTGAATTGAGAAGTCAGTATAACAGTCAGTTGTAACTTCTCATTAATTTCCATTCCTTTCAAATGAATTTTAAAGAGTAACATGCACATGAAACCCACATCAAGTTAATATAAAGAATCATCCATCCACCTTGAAACATAAGTAAATGCTCTCATGCTCAAATGAAGCAACGAAAAAACTGACCTTTCTAAGGGAATCAGGGCATTCAGCCTTCCGTCGATGAAGAAATAACCCTGTTACAATAGGGAACCAGTAGATTCAGCATATTGTCTTCGGGTTTACGCCTGATTCTAAATATTTTGAACTTAAAAGTATGGCTTGACAAAGGAAATACATACCAAGTGTTCTGCGCCCTTGAGGGTCTTCATCATTAAAAGCTTGGACACTCACCTATATATTCGAGAGTTGTCATAGATACCATTTTGCATCAGAACATTTAAAAAACATAGTAAGACATCTAAATTTGGTAAACTTAGAAACGGATGACTATGATCTACCTTCCATAATGAACCCGCATAAAATACTTCTGCTGAGTGCTTGACTTGGCCATCGCTGAGCCTGTGAACATCCACAAATTCAACCCTACACAACAAAATCAGACCCAACCCATAGATGAGATAGAATTTCAATATACCATTCTTTTCAGGAATGAAAAGACAAAGATACTTCCAGAAAATTATGAAGCAATCAGGACTGACAGAAGATAAAACCAAACAATAGTCTGCAAAAACCAACTTCCACCAGTGACTGTTTGAAAATAAGTATATGTTACATGAATTCCCCTACAAACTAAATCCTAAGCTTGGCCCAGATAAATTGCAGTCTCACAGGACAAAAAAAGATGAAACATCAGACTAAAGAAAAAACCGATCTTTTCCATGTAAAATTATATATAGAAAATTGGTAAGTGGATTTAAATAATAGTATCAGCAAAGTAGCTAGCCAAAGAAATTCTGAAACCATAACAGGAAAGCCTTCAGAATTCTCCTGGTCCGTCTTTTAAACAGTTAGTACAATAAAAAAGTAGTAGCTTACCCAAAACGGAAAGGAGGAAAATGACTAAGAGGGGTCTTCATATCCAAAGAGATGGAGGAACCACTAGTACTATCCCATTGAATTCCAACGTCATCACCGGTATGATCAAGCATCTGCATAGGGACAGCATTTCCACTTGGTCCCCCAACAGAAGTTCCAGATAGTTTGCTCTGAAGATCTGTCTCATAACCTCTTGCGGTTAGATCTCCATGGATATTAGCTGCATTACTTCCTCCCTGGGTTAGCCCAACCAGAGCTGTCAACCCATCTCCCGACAAATCGCCACCCTGGTCACCTCTGGCTTCTGAATCGTCATTAGCAAGTGCTTGCGTGCAATTTCTGTTGCCAACACCAAAAGGCACGCGAGAAAAGACATAGCGTGTTGGTGGCCAAGCAGCTGCTGGCACAAAAGTATTTCCACGTCCAATACCAGCCAACCCATCAACAGGTCCCCTGACATGTACTCGTACTGGCCTAAATAAACCATTACCATCACCTTGAATAGGTTCAGTAACATAAACACTTCCTATGTTATTTGAATTGTTCTGATCTTGCTCTTGGATGCAGTACCCAGTTGCAGATACCCCATGAGAATATACAAATGGCTGTCTACAGGCACAAGAAATATTCAAAAGACAGCAGTTCTTGCAAGTATCAGCACCAATTTCTTGTACCCGTTGGCTTAGAAGCATCTGGATAATAGCCATTTAATCAGTCATCTCAAATAACCAAGGAAGCCACCAATAAAAGGCAACACCTTTTGATATAAGATAACAAAAGTTGCTCCCACAAAGCTCTATTCTAGTATTCAGCATTGCACCCACACTTCGACACGCCAGAACATCTTTCCAAATCAATAATTGAAAATTAAGCATGCATTCTAGGTATGACGGTAGAAGTGCATGACCCAACATTTGCATGTTCATCTAGGTGAGTATTACCACAAATTTTATCAAAATAATAACTGTAAAGGTAAGTTCGAGTACATTTTAAAAATTCTGGGTGTGATTAAAGGTTTGCCCATTTGGCATGGCAAGGGCCACTTAATAATTGAAAGATTGATTTTCAATCAAGCATGTATTCTAGGTATTCCATGACACCACAAGTGCATGACACAACATTTGCACATTCATCTAAAAAAGCATTGGTGCAAACTCTATCAAGATAATAACTGTAAAGGGAAACTTGAGTACATTAAAAAAATGCTGGGTGTCATTAAAGGTTTGCATGTTGGGCAGAGCCCACCCTTCCAGGCATTAGGCTTTAGTCGAAGTTTCCTCGTCACTCGCCAACCCCACCAGTGGGTCTCCAAGCAGAAGTTAGATAGAACCTTGGGAGTCTATGCATTATACGACCATTACAGAGAAGTGCCGTAATTTCCCCTCAAAATATGTTTACATTGTGCATGGAAAAAGGTTATATTCATTCTTTGCATCTATCACGAGTTAACATAACTAAAGAACTTCTAGAAGTTACACCACAGGATGAAGCTAAGTAACAAATAAACATGGCATACTGGAATTACTGAAACTTAAAATGAAACCTAAAAAATTCACCATCAACTTTTAGTTTCAAACTGCAGCAACACACAAGAAGGGAAGAGATCTGAGCAAAGAACCTGCAACCATAGACTGTCGTTCACAGCTTTGCACGGAAAACCAAGTTCTTCTAGCTGCTTTCTCACGTTGATGAGAGCTTCAAAAGACATGTTGCTATATAAAAGAGAACCACCTTCAAATATATCGACAAATGTATCATAATCCTCCCCACCAACTCCACAGTTCTCTGCAGCACAATTTTTAATCTGCTGTCTTCCCACAACCCTGCCACCCCATGAAAGAGTAGGCATGCCAGATTTTCCCCAATCATTTGGCATGATCCCATAGCAGGAAGAGCTCATCATAGAAGAACCATGCCTTGATTGGTCCCTAGTAAGCCAGTTATTATCCAAGCGATAGAACGAATTGTCTTCAGATGGCCCCTCCATAGTCAATCCACCATTCACTAACCCACTTGTCCTTGCACCTATAGATGCTGCCACATAAGCACACGAGGTGTTACTCACATCAGTATCTGCAGACGACTTCAACGTCTTGGTGCCTTCCAAGCCACTTGAGAAAATGGGCTCCAAATTTGACTGAGCATATGCAGTTTGTTGTGCTGGTTGTTTAGAATCAGAATCTTCTGTTCCGCATTCGACAACTCCTGCAAGCTCAACTAGAAGATTGTGAGCAGTACCGCATCCCTCCGATCCAGCTTTCAAGCTTAAGTCTCCTACTTCAGATTCTGATTTCAAGTGCGAGAAGCTATTCATCAAATTTTTTCCTTTCCCTTTGGAAGAACCAGATAGAGTAGGCAATCCAGCCTCAGAATCAGAACTACCCTGCTCAGAAAGCTCTGCCCTGTGAAGTGCACCTTTTGCAAGCAGTGTAAACAGCGCCAGTTCAAACCTTTAAGGAGAAGAGTTTTCAGCGTGCCATTCCACTTCATTTATTAACAAGAAATATAGGCCGTCAAGAAAGAAAAGGACCTCAAAAGTCCTAGTTTCCTTACCGCTTCTCCTCGCTAGGCACCCAGAGTTCATCTGAGGTTAACAGCGCATGTAGAGTTTGAGGGGACAATTTTGGAAGCACCTTAATGCAAACCAGGAAAAAACAACAGCGTGTAAACAACCAAAAATAGGAATAAGAAGGTTAACTATCGCGACCAAGGAAATATTCAAGATAGAAAGAACCAAATAAAATACGAATTTTACCGACAAGGAGGTAACATTAGTAAGTTCTATCATACAATAGGACTTCATGTTCAATTAAGTCACGGCATATTATATTGATGCATTTCAAATCAACATACTGGAACAGAAAAGTTAGCCCCTGTTAGTAGAATCAAATGTCAAGCACTTAGAAAAGAGGCAGAGTAAAAGTTTGAGAGAGAGAGAGAGAGAGAGAGAGAGAGAGAGAGAGAGAGGGGAGGGGGGAGGGGGGGAGAGAAGTTAGTAGAATGGACCCAAAAAAGAAAAGAATAAGTGAGAAAAGAGAAATGACTCCAATTTCTTATTTGAATGGAGACTTTTTGGACTACATCTCAGGTGCAAGAATTTTTTTTCTTTGTTTAAGAGGAACGAGGTATTGTTAGAAGCTTGCTCATTTTATTGGCCAGATCATTGCATCAAATCGTCCTTTTACCTCTTTCAATTCCATGGCACCACTTTGACAAAGGTAGCCCCAACAAGCATTCCTGACACGCTCTCCATGTATGCCATAATCCTGGCTCTCTGCAAAAACCTGATCGACATGTTTATAGGGTCAACTATCTATCAAGAAAATTATCGCTCCTCCCTAAATGGGAAGCAAAAGCATGTCTTTTATACCTGATAGGCTAAGAAGTTTGAGGTCCACAGTTCAGATATAATGAAGTCTGTGCATATTGCACATAGGTCCTGCAGAGCATCATGATGTTATCACTAATATGCAAAGTGAACCCAACAAAAGCATATATGTAAAAATAAATGAAGCATACATTCCCAGAAATATATGAAGACAGCCGAAAGCCCGTAACAGTAACCCTTGAAATATGGTGATAATTTTAATTACATGGAAACCCCTTGAGTGTTGAAAATTTACACTAGCCTTGACTTGTTAATAGATTAATTACAAATTTCTTCATAATGACAATCTCGAAACAGATTAGTTGGATAATAGGCAAATGAGGATCAATTAGATAGCATCAAAGGAGTCTTAATAAATGATGTTTAAATTTGAAAATTTTGGATCACTTGGTGTAAATTTGGAACACCAAAGTGCATGACATACAAAGAGCAGTAGGTGCCCAGGTAAATTACAATGGCATATGGACAGGTAAGAAATGAAATGAGATCTACAATAGAAAAAAAAAAAAAAAAGGAGAACAGTAGGCGCTGCACTCCAATAGCAATTACCTGAAGATCAAGAAAGGAAGCGGCCGCAAGAACACGGAATGCAGTATTAACATTAAGCTTAGGATAGTGCCCATACAAATAAGCCAATGACATTGCCATGGCCTCGGGGTTAACATTCTTGTCGTCAACATGCAAGGTAACAACCGGAGCGCCGGCTTCTTTCCAGGGACCGTGAAGCATGTTCCTGAAAAGAGTAAACCAAGATAAAGCTGACCACCAAATCAAGCACTGATTACAATAAAAACTTATAAACAAGACTGTTTGGGTTCGGTTACTCCGCATAAGATATACAACAATCCCTGCATTCTCTGTTCATTCTATGCATCTCCATTGGCTGCTAAGTCCTTTAAAAAAAAAAAACAAAGCTTGATTACTAGACGGCACCGCAAATTTTCACATCAACTCCGCGGGAAAAGAAGAACAGCCACAAGCATCACAAATGGCCAAAAAGCTAAAAAGACCAAAATGTACTCAGCTACATAGCACGAAATGTATGGATAGTGCATAGCATGAAACGAATGGGGGCTCAAAGCAACTCAACCAACGAGTCTCATCTATATAACACGAGATGAATGGACGACGTTTCGGGTTCGCTCAAATTAAGGAAGGATCGCCGCTAAACATACGAGAAATCAAAATCGAAGTACGACAGAACGAGATATAGCCAAAGTTGCAAATCCTCGGAACCAATTTTCCGCACCAGCCCGGAAGACAGAAACGCAAAATCAATTCACGAAATCGGATCGCGACTCGGGGGGAAGGGGGGCGCGGGAGCGGGCGCGCGCGCACCTGAAGTAGGAGCTGCGGGAGAGGATGAGGCGGTGGAGGTGGTAGGTGGAGCCCATGGCGTGGACGGCGATGTCGGAGAAGGAGCCGGAGTTGAAGCCCTCGATCTGGACGTGGTCGCACAGGGCGGAGAGGTTGCAGTCGAGGGCGCGGAGCTCGCCGCTGCTCCGGTCGTTGTCGGAGTGCTGCTGCTGCGGCGGCGGCGGCGGCAGAGGAAGGGGAGGATCGGCCGCCATCTTCGGGTGGGGCCCGTAGGATCGGGGCTTGGGGTAGGGCGGATCCATTTCTGGGGTTCGACGATGCAGGGTTCTGAGAATTTCTACGGAGGAGGAGGCGGCATTGGAGAGTGGAAGTGGAAGGAGGAGAGTCTCAGTCGGTGTGTATATAGGGACGAACGCCTTTTTTTTTTTTCCTTGACTTTTTGGGAATATGAAATATTATATTATGTTGGAATAAAAAAAAGGGATAATTTATCTAATTCCTAATAAAGTTACGTTTTTTCCATTCCTAATTTAGCTAAAGCACTCCTAACAAAATGCCGTGACCTTATGGATCCCACTTTTCAGCATCCTTGGTCGACATATCGTACATTCTTTGATCTCATCAAAGGTTTGTTGACATTTTACATCCTATTTCACTTTGGCATTCTTCTTTAGTAACTTGAAAAAGGGCATTCTCTTAGGCTCCGTTCGTTTGACGGAAAATATTCTCCTTTTGAAAAATATTTTTCCGGAAGTCATTTTCCTGGAAAATGTTTTCCCGGAACATAATTTTCCGGTGTTCGGCGATCAATATGAAAAAGTTTCGGAAAATATTTTTCGCGGCGGCGCGACCGCGGCCGCGATCGGCGGCGATCGGCGGCGGCCGGAGACCGGCGGGCGGCGACCGCGGCGGCAGTGGCTGGCCGCAGCGCCGCGGCGACCGGCGGCGGACCGGCGGCGGCGGCGACCGGCGGCGGGGGCGATCGGCGGCCGACGATCGGCGGCGGCCGGCGATCGGCGGCCGGCGATCGGGACGGCGGCGGCCGGCGACCTTAGTAAAGAAGAAGAAGAAGAAGCTCCGGAAAATGATTTCCGCTTTTGAAGAAGCGGAAATCATTTTCCATAGACTTAGGCTATTTTGTAAGAGGGGGAAGGAAAATATTTTCCCATGGAAAACGTTTTCCGTCCCCCGAACACCGGAAAACTCGGAAAATATTTTCCGGGAGAATATTTTCCGCTAAACGAACGGAGCCTTAGTGTTCTTTTTTTTTTTCATAAGGTCATCTTGCGAGTCTCACTTTCTTTCATCTTCGCCCTTCTCTCTTTCTCTCTCTTTTTACTTTCTTTTCTTTGATGTTTGAGATAGTTTTTGCGTCGTCTTTCGTGATGGGTGTTGGATAAATTGATTAATTTCAAAATGTTGGTTAATATTGAGTAGTGTGGTAATTTTCTTAATGATGGGTTCAAGTCAATGAAGTCTGAACGTGTTTTTCTTCTTTTTCTTCTTTCATATCTTTTTTTTATGTATGTGAAATATAGGTATTGATTCATTCCATGTTTATTATTAAATCTGATTAAAGTTTATGCTTTTGAGGATCTTTAGTGAGGCCTTTTAGCATTTTTGAGATTCTCTCCTTCTAGGGATTTCGTTAGTTGAAGTTTTTGAAATTTTGTGAGGAAGAGTGGAAGGAGAAAAGTGAGTTTTGTCTGATCCTAAAAAATTTCCAAGTGAAAAAAGGTTTATCGTTCCATTTGATTTTTTAAGTGGATTTTGAGTATTCTTTTCATTAAAAATTTCTTCGGACCGGTTTACATTGACCTCTTTCTTTTGTGCAATCTGTTTGGTAAAATGATTTCAAGATGCACGTTTTGATATCTCCCCATCATATTAGTCTAGTTATGGTTCGGACTCAATAAAGGATGAATGATTTTTATCCAATAAATTTCAATTTTCTTCTCATTTCAATAGGTTTATTGAAACTTTTTACCATTTTATTTTTTATTCTTGATAAAGTAGAAAACCAATGGGCATGTCAAATGCATTTTTGCATATTAATTGGTAAAGTCTATTGGTGGCAGTGCAAAGTCCAGTTGGATGCCTCCTTTATATTATATTGGGTTGGTTTTGAGCAAAGAAGGCTTCCATATGTTGTGCAGCCACCAATTACACGAGAAAACATTATTTGATTGAGTTTTGTGCTTTTAAGGATGTAATTATGGTGACATTTTCTCTACAAGAGAGAGAAACATTCTGAAAGGTGAGACGAAGAGGAAGGAATGTGGGACCCACAAAAAAAACCAAAAAAAGACCACGATGAAAAGCTTAAGGGCGCGTTTGGTAACTCTTCTGTTTCTCTATTTTTCTGTTTTTCTGTTCCCTGGAACAAAAAAAGAACAGAAATTCGTTTGGTAATGCATTTTATTTTTCTATTTCCTGGAATAGAAAGTGGCCAAGAAATAGATTTGGAGCAGAAATAAGAAGTAGAAAAATTCTACTTCTTTGTTTCTAGAAATAGAAATAGAAATAGAAATAGAAAAGTCCGGTCCTCAAGTCGCGACCTCAGCTCCTCCTCCATCCTCTGTCATCTGCAAACCGTCTCAAAGCACCAGTCCGGTCCATTCTCGGCGGAAATAATAAAAAAATTATAAAAAATTAATTAAATTATAAAAAATTAAAAAATTCCAAAAATTCATAAAAATCAGAAAAATTCTCAGAAAATCCATAAAAATCAGAAAACCCATAAAAATTTGCAAAATTCCGAAATTGAAAAAATTAAAAAAATTTATAAAAAGCTTTCTGGAAAATAAAAAGAGCAAATTTCGGGAAAGTAAAAAGTTTTAATAAACTTTTCCCCAAAAAAACAAAAATAAAAAATTCACATAATGGCTTAGAATAAATTAAAAAATTCCGAAAATTCATAAAAATTAGAAAAACTTCAGAAAAATCCCATAAAAAATTAGAAAATTAAAAAATTCCCAAAATTCATATAAATCAGAAAAATTCTCAGAAAATCCATAAAAATCAGAAAAACTCAGAAAACCCTTAAATATTTGCAAAATTCCGAAATTGAAAAAATTAAAAAAATTTCATAAAAAAATTTCGGAAAAATAAAAAGAAACAGATTTAGGGAAAGTAAAAAATTTTAATAAATTTTACCCAAAAAAAATATAAAAAAATTCACATAATGGCTTAGAATACCTGTGGCCACCCACTTTGAGTGAAATTTAAATTTTTGAGGTGCCCAAGTGGTATTTTTGAAGATTCCTTAGTTTAGGGATTAAAATGGGTTTTAAACCCCTAAAAAGGATTAGACAAACCAATACATCATGCTTATTGATTTTTTTCACTTATAACTTGTACTTATAGTTAAATAAAAGATATAGATTTGAATGCAAAAAATTGGGAATAGAAATTTTGTGCAGTTACCAAACGCATTTCTGTTCTTTTTCTATTCCAAGAATAGAAATTTGTGCAGTTACCAAACACATTTCTGTTCTAGAAATAGAAATTTTGTGCCGTTACTAAACGCATTATTTTGCTCAGAAACTCTTCCAGGAAATAGAAATAGAAAAAACTATTTCTGAAAAGAAATTGTTCCCAGAAATAGAAACGTTACCATACGCACCCTAAGATGCTGAAAGGTGGACCCATAATGGGTGAATGGTCAAAACACTTTTTTTTTGGCAAAAGTACACCACAAGTGCCATAACTTGTGTACGGCGATCACTTTGGTGCCATAACTTTTTTTCGGATCACTTTGGTGCCAAGTCGGAGGAAAAGAGATCACTTTGGTGCCAATTTGGCCGGAAATCCGACGTGGCATTTTTTATTCATTTTTTACGCTGACGTGGCTCGCCGGAGGCTAAGTCAGCGTGTACAGTCAGCATTTTTTATTTTAAATAAATTTTTTTAGCATGTACAGTCAGCATTTTTAATTTTAAATATTTTTTTCCTTTTTTTTTTCTTTTCTTTTCTTTTTTTTCTTTTCTCCCCGCCGGCCGGTTGCCGGTGGCCAGCCGGCCACCGGCGAAGCCCGGAAGGGCCGGGCGAGGGCGCCTTGCCCATGGCCGGCGAGGGCGGCCGACCCTCGCCGGCGACAGCGAGGCCGGCCTCGCCGGATCCGGGCGAGGGCGACCCTCGCCGGCGTCGGGCGAGGGTCGCCCACGCCCGATTCAGCGAGGGCGACCCTCGCCCGCCCCAGGCTAGGGCTTCGGCGAGGGCGACCCTCATCGGCGTCGGGCGACCCTCGCCCGGGCCGACGAGGGCATCCCTCGCTCGACGCCGGCGAGGGCCGGCCTCGCCTGTCGCCGGCGAGGGTCGGCCGCCCCTCGCCGGCCATGGGCAAGGCCGCCCTCGCCCAGCCCTTCCCGGGCTTCGCCGGTGGCCGGCCGGCCACCGGCAACCGGCCGGCGAGGGGAGAAAAGAAAAGAAAAGAAAAGAAAGAAAGAAAAAAAAAGGAAAAAAATTATTTAAAATTAAAAATGCTGACTGTACACGCTAAAAAAATTATTTAAAATAAAAAATGCTGACTGTACACGCTTACTCAGCCTCCGGCGAGCCACGTTGGCGTAAAAAAATGAATAAAAAATGCCACGTCGGATTTCCGGCCAAATTGGCACCAAAGTGATCTCTTTTCCTCCGACTTGGCACCAAAGTGATCCGAAAAAAAGTTATGGCACCAAAGTGATCGCCGTACACAAGTTATGGCACTTGTGGTGTACTTTTGCCCTTTTTTTTTTGTTTCGGTCGAATGTCAAAACACTTTAGTGGAGAGTGTTTTAGTTAAACTGGGAGTGAAAAAAGCATACACTTTCTAGTTTCTACTAATGATTTTCTTTTTGGGCAATTTTCTAGTTTCTACTAATTAAAAACGTTTTTTCTGTAAGAGCAATGTTCATGAAATAGTAGGGTTTTTCTTCGGGCACATATAAGAGCTTTTGCTAATAATAAATGCAATTACTAAAATTAAAAATTTTATACTTATCGGTGCTTTAACCGCGAGTTTATCAAGTATAACGATAAAAGGTTCTATGAAGCTTATAAAACGAAAATTTTCACAAACTCTCTTAAACTGCATTGGAATATTTTTCTCACTTACTTGAATAGAGATTAACACGCCATATACTTCTCCCTTTTGCTCACATGAAAGTATATCCCTAATTTTTCACTAATTTGCGGGTCGTACAGTATCATTATGAGAGTACAGCGGCATTAGAGTTTTAGGTAACTTCGAGTGCAAATTGAGATTTTAGAAACTAAGAAAGTAAGATTGTATTTGATTACAGAATTAGCGATAATGAAAACGATGTATACTGTACAACAAGGTGAAAACGGAACAAATGAATTAAACGAAAATGAATGGAATGGCAATTTCATATTTTGTTGTAAGAAAAAGGAGTTAATGGT